CGGCCAGAGCGTCCCTCCCACCGGACAGGGTTCGAGACCCTGAAGGGGCTCATCGACACGGTCACAAGGTTTCCGGTGACAACAGCCAGAGCGTGCCTCCAGGTCTTGGGTCATATCTCGGCGTGCACGTATTTGGTCCATCATGCCAGACTCGGGTTGGCCTCAGAGTTCTCCCAGGCCAGGGACAGGATGGATAAAGTCCTCACGGTACCCGAACCAGTGATTGCCTCCCTATGGTGGTGGTCCTCCCCGAGAAACATGCTCCAAGGGGTCCCGTTCAGGGGCAGGGACCCGTCACCGGAGCTGGTGTCCGACGCATCGGATCTGGGATCGGGGGCCCATGTGGGGAACGTTCAGACCCAAGGTCTGTGGTCGGCTCGGGATCTGACCCTCCACATAAATGTCAAGGAGGTCAGGGCGGTACAGCTGGTGTGCATGGCCTTCCGCTCGCACCTGGAGGGCGGGGTGGTCATGGTCCTTTTGGACAACACGGCCTCGATGTTCTACACCGGGATTCTTAAACTGGGGGTCGGGACCCCTCAGGGGGTCACAAGGTTATTACATGGGGGGGTCGCGAGCTGTCAGCCTCCACCCCGCTTTGCCTCCAGCATTTATAATGGTGTTAAATATACAAAAAAGTGTTTTTAATTTATAAGGGGGGGTCACACTCAGAGTCTTGCTATGTAAAAGGGATCACCTGTACAAAAGTTTGAGAACCGCTGTTCTACATCAACAGGCAAGGTGGGGCCTGATCCTCTGCCCTCTGCCGCGAAGCCCTCAGGCTGTGGGATTTTTGTATAGCCCACAACATCTCCTACAGGCCTTCCATCTGCCGGGTGCCTGGAATGCGCAGGCGGCTCGCTTGAGCAAGGACTTCGCCTCTCAGCACAAGTGGTCTCTCCACCCAGAGGCGGTGCACAGACTTTTCCATGTGTGGGGAACTCCCCAGGTGAACCTGTTCATGACTCGGCAGAACCATCGCTGTCCCCGGTTCTGCTCTGGCGGAGGCTGGGATGGGGCGCTATCTCCAATGCCTTCCTCCTGTCCTGGTCAGGCCAGTTTCTCTATGCCTTTCTCCCGTTCCCGCTGATTGGCAAGATCCTGGAAAAGATAAAGACGGACAAAGGCCGGGTCCTTCTGATTGCCCCGGCATGGTCCAGGCAGCATTGGTACAGAACCCTCACGGGCCTGGCGGTCGCACTGCCATGGCCATTGCCGTCCCACTCGGACCTGCTCTCCCAGGGCCAGGGCCTCCTCCTCCACCCCAACCTAGCGGCACTCCACCACACGGTGTGGCTGCTCAATGGTTAGGTAGGGAGGAAAGGACATGCTCAGAAGGGGTTCAATGTGTCCTCCTAGAGAGCAGGTGGCCCTCCACATGCCAAGCCTACTTGGCAAAGTGGTCTCGGTTTTCCAGATGGGCGGACAAGTGGGACGTTTCCCCGGTGGCCGCCCCAATCTTGGTGCCCTCGTCAGCCAAGGTGCACCTGGCGGCCATATCGGCCTTCCATCCGCCGGTGCAGGGCCACACGGTATTCTCCTATGCTATGACTGGCCGATTCCTTAAGGGGTTGGATTGTATCTTCCCGTATGTTAGGCCCCCAGTCCCGCAGTGGGACCTAAACCGGGTGTTGACCCGTCTCACAGGGCCCCTGTTTGAGCTGCTAGCCACATGCTCCCGGGGAAGGTTGCCTTCCTGGTTGCGATCACGTTGGCCAGGCAGGTCTCGGAGCTCAGGGTCCTGACCTCCGAGCCCCCGTACATGGTTTTTCATAAGGATAAGGTTCAGCTCCGCCCACACCCTTTGTTTCTCCCTGTAGAGGAGTGGACTCACCCCTGCGGCGTCTCCTGCTGGTGACTTAGGGGAATTAGCTCATTCCAGCTCTGGAGCACCCTCTGCAGGCTGGTGGTCCGCCTGTCCTCTGGCCCCCGTGTCCCGCCCTGGACCCCAGTGCCCTTGTACCTGGGGTGCTGCCCCCTAGCAGTAACTCCTCAGTCTTAAGGTCTCCCCTCCCCAGGGAACCCCCACCCACTATTCCCACCTCGCCTCGGTAAAAGGCTACTGCCAGTCATCGTCTAGCCCCACACCCTGGGGAAGTCTGCAGTATCAGCCTACTCATCACTGGCAAGGTTGGGTTTGGACCTGCTGCCTTGGCCTACCCCTGGACTGCCCTTCTGTTAGGCCGCAGCCTGGGGCTTTCCAGGCAGGAGCTCCCCAGCTCCTTTACCTTTCCCCAGCCCTGCTCCACTCATGTACCCAGTCTCTAGCTTCCTGCAGCCAGGCCCTTCTCTCTCTGAATGCAGAGAGAGACTGTGTCCTTGCTCCTGGCTCCCAGCCTTTATAGGGCCAGCTGGGCCCTGATTAGGGCACGGCCCACCTGCGGCTGCTTCCTCCCAATCAGCCCAGGCGTCTTGCCCTTCCACAGCCCTCCTCCAGGGCTGTTTTAAACCCCTCAGGGCAGGAGTGGGTAACCACCCCGCTACACTCCCAAAGGTGGTCTCCACCTATCACGTGGGTCAGGACATTTTTCTACCGGTCCTCTGCCCCAAGCCCCATGCGTCCAGTGAGGGGCGCCACCTCCACACGCTGGATGTGAGATGGGCTCTAGCTTTCTGCCTGGAGTGGACTAAGCCGTTCAGAAAGTCCTCGCAACTGTTCATTGCCTCGGCCGAGCGCATGAAAGGTCGGCCGATCTCCACTCAGCAGCTCTCCAACTGGATCACTTCATGCATCCGTACCTGTTATGACTTGGCGGGAATCCCTCCGCCATCAATTGTGAAGGGGCACTCGACTCGGGCACAAGCCTCGTCGGCTGCCGTTTTGGACCACGTCCCCATCCAGGACATTTGTAGGGCTGCTATGTGGTCTTCAGTTCACACGTTCACTTCGCACTATGCGATCGTCTCCCAAACCAGGAAGGACGCCAGGTTCGGCAGGGCTGTGCTCCGTCCCGAGAATTTGTGAACTCCTACCTATCTCCAACAGATATAGCTTGGAATCACCTATTGTGGAATACACATGAGCAATCACTTGCAGAAGAAAAGACAGTTACCTTTTCTGTAACTGGTGTTCTTTGAGATGTGTTGCTCATGTCTATTCCACATCCCGCCCTCCTTCCCCTCTGTTGGAGTTGTCTGGCAAGAAGGAACTGAGGGTGGGGGGGAAGCGTGCAATGCCCCTTATACCGTGCCATGGAGGCGCCACTCCAGGGGTCGCTGGGGCGTTCCCCTAGGGGTACTGCTAGGGCAAAAACTCCCAGCACCGGTGCACGTGGCGAGCGCACACACCTATTGTGGAATAGACATGAGGAACACATCTTGAAGAACACCAGTTATGGAAAAGGTAACCGTCTTTTATCTTGTCAAATCTCACGAGCTAAGCAGGGTGAGCCATCCAAATACTGTCAAGGAAATCAGTGCTGTAAAGAGTTAGTGGTGGAGAGTCAGTAGGCAGTGCTTTTTTTGTCTGGGTCCATACTGAACCAATAATCCAGCATGGTGATCGGCCCTCTATACTGGTGTGGGATTAGGTGATGAGTGTGGAGTGGGAGGGTATCTTTGGGATGAGATGAACAGAGGTCCTGACCATTGCGGTTCTTAAAGATCCCAAGATGCTTTTGAAAGGTACAGGGGTATTTATTTCTAGTGCCTAGGCCACATTGCAACGGGGTAAGTACATTCTGCCTATCTAAATATCTCCTGCAGCATCAATGGGATAGAACAGAGGTGGGCAAACTACGGCCTGCGGGCCACATCCGGCCCGCAGGACCCTCCTGCCCAGCCCCTGAGCTCCTGGCCCGGGAGGCTGGCCCCCCGGACCCTCACCTGCTATTCCCCGTCCCCCGCAGCCTCAGCTCGCTCCGCCGCTGGCGCAATGCTCTGGGCGGCGGCGCTGCGAGCTCCTGGGGCAGCGCAGCTGCAGAGCCTGGGCTGACCCGGTGCTCTGTGCTGCATGGTGCGTGGCTGGCTTCAGCCGGGCAGCGCGGCTTTAGCGCCGCCAGCCACCGGTGCTCCAGGCAGCGCGGTAAGGGGGCAGGGAGCGGGGGAGTTTGGGGTGGTGGTTGGGGCGGGGGTGTGGATAGGGGGCAGGGTGGGGAACGGGGGGGTTGAATGGGGGCAGGGATCCCGGGGGGCAGTCAGGAAGGAGAGGGCGGGGTTGAATGGGGCGGTGGGAGGCAGTCAGGCAGGGGTTCCGGGGGCAGTCATGGGACAGGGAGAAGGGGTGGTTGGATGGGACAGGGGTCCTGGGGAGTCCATCAGGGAACAGGGGGGGTTGGATAGGCAGGAGTCCTGGGGGTGTGTGTGCTGTCAGGGGGCGAGAAGCAGGGGGGGGGTCAGATGGGGCGGGGCCGGGCCACGCCTGGCTGTTTGGGGAGGCACAGCCTCCCCTAACCGTCCCTCCATACAATTTCCGAAACCCGATGCAGCCCTCAGGCCAAAAAGTTTGCCCGCCCCGGAATAGAACATTCTTCACTTCTTGTCCTAAACGGATGGAGAGTTGCTGTGGTGCAAGCAGTGTGCTCCAGCAGTGACTGTGTTGTGTTCCTCAGTACTAATGAGGTTCTTACAAACCTTCTCCAAATCTGATTACTTGTATTTGTGATCTGCTGCCAGATTTAATCTTGCATAGACACTCACTCCTACATTTAGTACTGGAGAGCGAGCCAGTGCAAGGAGCTGGCTGGTGTGCACAATGAATTGGCAAATGAGGGGGCTTCAGTAAGGGCCTTCAGCTTTGGGCCTGTTGCCTTCTGGTACACTTAACTTTGCATTGCTGCTTGTGTTCATTTGTTCCCCAGATAGCAACATAAGCACTGTGATCCACCACAGTGCCTCGCTCCTCTTGGTTACCTTGGTGGATGAGGGCAGACTTTTACCCCTGTATTGTGAGACATTTTGATTTCCTTTGCTATGTAATGTGTAAATATGTTGGCAAAGTTATGAAAAACAAATAAACATGAACTCTCCTGATGGCCCTTTTCATGCTATTTCTGTTCCAGGCAGCCCTTCTTTAAATACTGCTACCAGTGTGGGCGGGCTATAGGGATTCGACTCACTCTTTGCACACGCTGTTACGAGATCTTCACTTGCAGCAAGGCTTGTAAAGTCAAAGCCTGGAATGAGCGTCACAGGCGCGAGTGCTTTGGAACTACAGGTAGGTTTGACTGATGATACCCCATAGAGTGCAAGGAAAGCAAGGCATGTACGTTGAAATACGTTGCTGAAGTGTATGGCCTGTTTTTAATGGTATGTTATTAAATGTATGTTAGTTAAACACTAAGGCAAGATAAAATTCATAGCAACAGGTTTAAGTTAATATATCAGTTGACCTTGAGTGGGCTCATACTTATTAAAACGGTTAGATGTAAGAAGCTTGGTATAGTAGCAATAGCATTGATTTCAGCCTCGGAGACTTTTTAAAGGTGAATGGCAAAGCAGAAATAAAAGTTAAGTTACAGTGAGCACAGATTTCTGTGCCTCAGGCGCCCAATAAACCAGGTTATATGGGCATTTCAGCACAGAAATAACCTTTTGTTGACCTTTATGCAATTAAAAATGAAAAGACTGTGAAATCCTCTTCTTGGTCCACTGAATCACACAAATACCATGCCTCTCACTTCAGCCCTTGTAATCTGCACTATTTGTATAATAACTATAAAAAATATACACGCTGATACAAGAAAAATGTTCTACACATCTGTAGAAGACTTGCATAATGAAGCGATACAAAAAGGCAGACTTGCTGTCACTAGGCCAGATGCTCATATATTTGACTGAATGAGAAATCTCTCGAATATGAAGGCACATATATATAAAATGGTGCTGCCATTCTATGACTGAACTACATTTTAGTGGCAACTCAGTACACGACTCTTCCCTCTGGATCTATATTAAACCTGTGGCTTGGGAAAATGCTAGGTCTGTGCTGTCAGAGACTAACAAAATGGAAAAAGTGCACCCTGTCACTTGTAGCCTCTAAAGATCCCTTGGATTTTTCACAAGCAAGGTTTAACCTTGTCCTGCCAAATTACAATATGGATTATTAAGTTTTATTTACTTGCAGTAAATCCCTTCTGCTTTTTTAACAGGATATGATGGTGTTCTTCATATCCGATCATTAAGCTGTTGTTACGTTGCTTGTGCTGTTTCTATATTTCATTCTACAGATGGCAGCTACATTTCTTTTGTTGTATATACTTGGTTGTATATGCCTGTGCTATATATAAAATGTACATGTGTTTGTAGATGCTTTGGAAACCCTGGGGATAAAGAAAGTATAAAATGCTATATCATTACTGCTACTGCTTCAGTGCATGTGGGAGAAGAAGGAAATACGTACGGGAAAGAACACTAATTGCAGTACACATCCCAAACCACCAGATGGCAATAAAAACTATCAAATAATGTGGTAGGTGCTAGTTGAAAAATCAATACAACACGTTAAACAAAAAGATATTAAAGTTTCCCAATAAGATCTTGACTACAAGAAAACTAAGTTCTTGACCAACCAGTGTGATGCTGACCTTGCTAGAATATGGTCATTTTTTGGCTCCTTCATCATGCTGGCCAACCTACTGTTGCATATTGATCACAGCAAACAAGTCAGGACAGTGGGAAGGACCTCTGCGGAGCTGGGACAACCTCTCCTGTGACAGTAATAGTGACCACTTAATGCAAATGAACTTTTTCCTTCCCATGTGAATTAAGACGAAAAAGCAACAACAAAAAAGCCATATTCAACCTCATGGATCTTGTTTACGTCTTAAGAAATATGACAGCAGCATGATCAGAAAAATGAAGTGTTAAGACTACAGCTGAGATATGATTAAATAATATCCAGGCAGTAAACAGCAGTGAAGTTACCATTGTGTTGGCTCCAGTACATGTAGCTGTGTTGGAGGATTCTGTTGGAAAAAACACAGACCTTCTGCGTTGTAAGTGCCAAAAATCTAAGACTTCTGCTAAAACTTTCAGAATGATGAGCCTTCAGTCCAAGCTGTTCCTTGAGTCAAGAAGCTACATCTGAGTGCTACATTATAACTGGAATGTCAGTGATGGAAAAATTCTCCTGAATCATATTCCTTCAAAAGCTAAGAAATTCTGGCGTTGGCCATCCCAAACCATTTCTACAAATCCCAGATATCCTCCTTTTAATAATAGCTGCTTATCATTTTGAAAACAAAATTTGAAGCTTGGGTTAGGAGCAATCAAGATTGAGCTCAGCAGAAGTACTTTATGATATTAGTACTCTGCATATATTCACTTGCTGAGTTGTTGCAAGGGAAAAGCTCCAGATTGGCCAAGAGAGGTTTTGTGACTGCCTTGGTGAGCTGTGATAGCTCTATTGTAAAATTCTGCTATTCACCTCATCTTCTCAGAACAGCAAGACCCATCTAGAGACCTACCACTTGACCTTTATTTATGTAACCAAAATGTTGAAATACAAATGGGAAGTTGAAGAAAAATGTCTAATTAAAAGTGATGGAAAATTTTGTGCTTAGCAAAAAAAAGTTGAGGGCCTGGCATCAAAGGCCAATGTTAGTCAGCTTCCACTGGGAATCACTATATTGCTAAATAATGGTATCGGCTATAAGAGTTAGACATGCAGGGAGTAGCCATCAGACTGTGAAGACCAAATGGTGGACTGGTACCACGACGGCCTTCAAAAGCAGAACAAGAGTAATACAGGCTCTTTGGAAAAGAGCAGAGGACTAAGAAAACACTTGCTCCCAACACAATTGACTGTATGTATTTTATACACACCTGAGGACTTCGGCACATCTTTGGAGCAGTGTCTTTAACAAATTCTAGTATTTCCAAACCTTTGAAATGGCATGTGTGGGTTGCACGTTGCAAAGCTGGCTTTTGGCAGATGCTTTTTTAATGTATTTGCTACGCCTAGTCAGAGTATAGTGCTGACTATTGTAGATGTTTCTTTTTGAAGGTTTTATTCTGCCATGAAAAATGCGAAAGGTAGAGTCCTGGAGACTACATTCAGCTTGTCTGCAAGAGCGGTACTGTATGGATAGTCGCTGTGAAAGTGAGTTAGTCTCTGAACCCCGTCAGTGTTTGATCGCTACTGAAAGACTCATTGAAGGGTTCCAATTTGTACAAGGTGCAGCCGTGGTTTGTGGAGAGCTGACTTGTTCTGTATGGGCTGGACTGAGACTACAAACACATTTCACACAAGCCAACAACCCTCTGTTGATGGGAGCAATTTTTCAGTCATGCCTAACTTGGCTATATTTCATATGGTGACTTGTAAATGAAAAACTCCATATGTCATAACCAGATCCATGAGCAGAGCCAACCTGGAGGATCATTTTAATTGTTTTTGAAGGAGCTGTATAGAACCTGTCATGAAGTTATGATATCTGAACATGCTGTGATATGGATTAATGGCACGTACCTATGACGACGTTCCTTTAGATGGAGGAAGTGTTCACTAGGCTGGAGTGTAGAAATCATACAGTTAGTTGATTATGAACCAGTACCTCATGCTTTAGATCACTCTGGAGACTGCAAGGACTCTTAAAGATCCCCTTATTTCTGATTTTCCCACAAAGTAATGAGTTAAAACTGGAAGTGCCATCAGACATAATCCTTACCCCACCCCCAAGAATTCCTGTGTGATAGCTGTGTTTTTTCTGCAGTGAAAAAGAGTAGGAATCTGGTGAAGTCACAACAATGCCACTCACTGCTCAGCGGTAGATCACTGAAAAGTTGGCATGCTCCCTTTTTAACTTTATCCAGAGATTTCTTTTTAAAGACATGTTCCTTGTGTCGTGTTGACAACTTATTCTGTATTTGAAAATCTGTACATATTCTTTATGTCAAAGTTATTGTACAACTGCAAATGTATATGCATATTGGGAAATGTAATGTAATGATTTCTTTGTGAGCAAGGATTCATAAAATAAATTTTATTGGTATTTATGGCTGGTAGCAACTTTTTAAAACTGCTTAGAGTGCAGTAGAAGTGGTTGGTCCCTTGAAGTAGTCACAATATAATCTCACAAGCGACTATTCTGAAATGTCTTTGCACCTTGTTTTATTGCTGCTGAAGGTGATTCATCATTAACGGACTCTGATCAAGACAACCTACAATCTGAGGTTGAAGGTAAGTCAGTTTTGACTATTAACATCTTGTTCATCATTAAAAAACTGTTGCATACACTTTTTGGTCCTTTTAATCTCATTCCAGCGATTAGCTCAGTGGTACCAGTCTGACATTGGCTTTTAGTCTTCAGAATAATTCAAAAGTTTAAATTAGTGGAATTTGCAGGCATTTGTTTTCTATAGAAGCAATAAGTAAGGCACTTGCTAGTGCAGACTATTTACTTGTTAAGAGAAAGCTTCTAAAATAGCCATTATTGTGGAACTGTAACTGGTTGTAGCTCATGGAGTGTTATGGGCGAGAAATTGCTGCAGCTGCTTTTAAAGAAAAGAAAGTAAAAAAGCTATTTAGTTCCAAGACACATGTGATAGCACATCTATCTCAACACTGCCCAGCAAGTTCTTTGCTGCAGTACTGAATAATAAACTATTCGTGTCCCTGATGCCCCTCGTGTATGTGAAAGGTACTTGGTCAAACTGCTTCCATGGCAGAGAAATAAGCCAGCCTGAAAATTCCAAAGACTTTCAGTCATAATTTCCATAGAAAGTGTAGCGCAGCTTGGCCATTTCTTCATCACTTGTAATACATTTGTAACAAAGACTGGGCTAATAGAGAATTTGTAGTTAGCTACACTGATCGCTTTAAAGGGACCCCATCAGAAGAATCACACTACCACTCTTCTCTAAATAGTGACAAGATTGATCAGTAGACTACAATCTCTGGGAACTTCTTGGGGTAGGGGAATGAGTCTGACAAAAGAGGGACCCAGATGAGTATCCTATCATGTAGGCATCTACACCTAGGGGCAGAAATCCTTATAAACTCCAAGGAAGAGCTAGTGGTCATGTTTCCCTTTCAGCCCCTTTTTAAAGTGCTAGCAAGTCTTTATTGTTTGACTTTCCCTTTTGCACATGGCCTGTCCTACTGAGCTATTAAGACAGGAAGAAGTGGCTTTTGTTCCCACCTCTGTGATGTACACAGACTTACTTAGCCAATAGCTTAGACAAGTGCAACAACACGATTTGAGTTACAGGTCTGACTCAAGACAGATTTTTTTGAAAGCAGCATCTATTGATGCCAGGACAGGTGCTTGGATACTGTCTTTGTGCCTGCTTCAGTTGTCACGAAGAGCCAACTGAATGCCTTGCTTTAGCTAACTAGGCCAACTGAGAGCGTTGGAAGCTTTTGGGGTGAAGCTCCCACTATTCAAGCTTCTTGCTGCTTATCGGTTATCTTTAGTGTCTCATTTCTGCCACTTCTGGCCTGTTGCCCTCTCAAACATAGTGGGCTCACACTACTTCAAGTGAGATAATAGCGTATTTTATTGGGGGGGGGGAGAGGGGAGAGGCTCTCTGTTTGCTTTGCCATCTTTTTAGCTTTACTGTTGTATTTTGTTACATTTACATAAAGACCGGACTAAGGGGGGAAAAGTGGCATTACTACTGTATGCCAGGACCAAACTATCAGTGCAAAGTTTTGCTTTTTTTAAAATATCACGAGTATGACAAACTCACACACACACACAAATAAGTTCAGAGTTAAAGTGACCACCAAGCAAGGCAATGTTTTTGCCATCATTCATGATTATGTGAGGTAACTCTCTCTCTTAATCAGCTGCCTCATTCCTGATTCATTGTCAGGTCTTCAAACCTGTTGTTGATTTGCCTTGCTAATGTAGCTTCCACATTAAAGATGAATGGTAGCCTAAACTGAAGAATCTCATGAGTCAGTGGTTGAGCTTTTTCCACATCTAGTGGATTTAGCCACCTCTTCCATTTAAAATGATCTGATGTCTAAATAAATTTCTTGGACTATTTTGAAAAATCAATTTACGTCTTGCAGGCTGGTTTTTGGGTGCTGTGTGTAACCTACACTATGTGCTTAGGAGCATTTCATGGTTATTTTGTGCTTTACTTTGTATTTTAAACATAGTGATGTTTTTGATGTGGTGATGTTGGCAGTTGAGGTAGCTACCTAGCAATTACAGGCAAGCTCATGTTAATGCCGACAACTTGCAAGTAACTTTTCACATTAAGAGACTCTTAGAAGTAGTAATGGAGGAGAAACATCAGTGCCCTACACTATCCCTTTAAAGGCCAGCAGGTACATAGTTTCTGTCATGTTTCCATGTTGCTTGTTAAACCGAGTCAAGGCTCAGTAATTTTGAAGGCTTGCAGTTGTGTCCAGTTTACTGTTCCAAGGAAACCAGTGTTCCTTCAGAGGCCAATCTATTATTTATTTTTACAGGAAAGCATCAACTTAAGACTAAGTCGGGCATTTCAAGAGAGAGGCAGAGTCCTGTTGGCAGAAAGGGAAGCGAGGGAAGAGGCAGAAGAGATGTCTTCAGGAAAGATGACAAGAAGCCAAGTCCAGGCAGACCACGTGCAGCGGCCGATGACGTGCGTCCAAATCTTCCTTACACTGGGAATTATAGTTACAATTAATCCTACGGTAGAAAAAAATGAGCATGTTGAATAAGTTGACCTGGGATCACGTGCCTTTATCTAATAAGTGTTATATCAAATAAGAAGCGATAGGATACTAATGATATGCCTTTGATGACAACTTAGCCCTCCATAGTCATTTTCCAGGGGCCTTCTCCATTTTTAATTTAAAATACTGATTAGTATGGATGCCTCTACAGTTAGACATGTAAAGAAAGAGCTGGATGATAAAAATGACTATTGTACGGGGTAAGACTGTGTAAGAGCTATTCATGTCACTGAAATAGCATCTGGAATTTGACTTTAGTGCATCTCTCATCAACTTCATGAAAATTTCCACTCTCCTCGAGCTTGAATTTCCACTTAATTACACTGTGATTGGTGTGGGGCAACTTGGCTGTTACACTGATTTAGTTAGTTATTCAACTGACCAAACTTTCTGAAAAACAGATTATGCTCCAAAAGCATGAAAAATGTCACACAACCTCAAAGCTCACTGTGTTCAGCAAGGAGAACTTTCTGTCTGATCTGGCATGCTCTTGCCTCCCAACCCTCCCTCAGTTTCATTTTATTGGCAGCTGAGGACATGCAACCACTCATAGGATGAGGATTGGAGTGGTGAAAACTTTAGCGCCCACACCTGTTCAAGTCAATGGGCATTTTGCTGTTGACAGGAATGGAAGCAGGATTAGGGGATGTTTGCTCATATAGCGGACAGAGGTCACCACGTGGAAAAGGAGGCATGTTCTGGTTTAGGTGTCTAATTTTAGCGATGCTGAGCACCTACAACTCCTATTGGATCCAGTTGGGGAGGTAGCTACAGGTACTCAGCACCTCCGAAAAGTAGACCCTGTTTATGTGCCTGTCTGTAGTGTCATGTTTGAGAATTTTGGCCAGCGTACATAAGGACCGGAATATCGTTCCTCACCCCAGCTGACGTAGGGATGGCATGGATATAACTGAGAACAGATACTGACCCTTGGATTGTATATAGTTTGAGCATGCTCGTTTCCCAATGTTTGGCCTACCAATAGCTCATTTGCAAATGTGGGGTGTGTTCATAAAAGCTACAAAATTGGATACAAAAATTGTTTTTTTGTTTTCCTATTTCTTTGCTAGGGGCAGTTATTTTAAATAGTAATACAGAGAGGATTTACAGGAGATATATTTCTGAGATGAGTGAATTGTAGTTTGTATAAATACTGTTCCTTGTAGAGTAACCATGGATAAATATGTATTAAGTTTTACAGAATATAGATATCAGCTGTTTAGAGCTGTGTATATAAAATACAATCTAAACTCCTGTAACTGAAAGATTTTAGTAAATACCAAGTAAACTGGTAAGCTTTATAAAGACAAGAAGTTGATTAATTTCTTTGTTTGGGGTGGGGAGGAAGGCGGGGCCCTGGAATTCTTTAGGTGCCGTTTACCTCCAGTCACGTGCACGCCTTCTGTCAGTTTCTTATTACCAGAAATCTGGGGCTCACCCCCTTGGTATCATTACCAAGTTCACCAACCTCTGGAAGTGGAATTGTGTATCTAGAAAAACAAAACCTATTTCAACATCATTTCATTCGAAGGGAGCATTGGTGGTGGATTATTTAATTCAGAAAGGCTCTCTACTGCGACCAGAATGCCTTTTTTCTTTCAGTTAACTTTTCAAGAAGCAATATCTTGAGTGCAGTAGTAAATAATTAACACTGTGCTTTACGTTTACAAATATTTAGGTGTAAATCTAATTTTTTTATTTAAGATTTTTCTCCTTTCTCTCTCTCACACACACTAACAATCTTTAGTATGGTAACTTTTTAAAATGTCATCAAATAAATTTCATCTTGTTTTTAAGCATCTCCTATACCTAGAGGTGGCTGCTCTCCGCCATACATTTTTGAGCAGGTGAGAATCTCAGAATATCTATACTATACTGTTGATAGTGGGTAAACCAAGGACTGAGTGCAGGGCTACTCACATTTAAAAATAAAATTCAGAAGAAATAAAATAGTGATTTGTAACAGTGGGAACAAATATAGATTTAAGTCTCCAGCCTTTTTATTTATACAAGGATTCAAAGAACATATTTCAACTTTAGATAAACAGTGCAAGATAGTTACAAGTACCTTGGTAACAGAAAGAAATATATAACTGGCCAGCTATGCCAATAAGTGAAATAAATCTTAATCCTCCAGCTAGAAATGCATTTTTTTTAAAGCAAAAGTGTACTTCGGATATTTGTTATACCTTATCCCCTACCAAGCCCACCAGAAAACAATAGGTTGTTTGTCATTTGTAAAATGATAAATATCTGTGCTCTGAAAGCCGCTAATGATCCCACCCTTAGTTAAAACATACAAATTATGGCACAAAAGAGCAAGTTTAAAGACAGATGCCTGTAAATCCATTTTTCTGGTTCTCCACTTTGCAGTGATGTGGGTGTTTAATAATTCAGATAAGAACATGAAAATGAACAAATCCCATCAGCATCCCTAAGTATTTTTTACTTATCAAAACACTGAGAATCACCATCTTGCTAACAGAGAAGCGAATGGTCCTTTTCCCTCTTCCCCTTCCAAAGCAGCAAATCCAAAGTGAGTCATACTCCCTTGATATGGGCTAAGCAGTGGTTCTCTGGGAGGCTGTGAGCAGGTTTCAGGGGGGTCCACCAAGCAGGGCCAGCATTGGACTTGCTGGGGCTCAGGGAAGAAGGCCATAGCCCTACCGGTAGGGCCTTGAAGCCCAATGCCCTGAGCCCTGCCACCTGGGGCTAAAGCCGAAGCCTGAGAAACTTGGGGGGAGGGCCTGTGGTGTGGGGCCCCAGCCAGTTGCTCTGCTTGCTGCCCTCTAACACCGGCTCTGCCGTTTATATGCAGAGAACCTGTTGTGGCAGAGGTGGGCTGTGGAGTTTTTATAGCGGGGGGTGGGGGGAAAGAGCTCAAAGAAAAAGGTTGAGAACCCCTGGGATAAAGCACTTAATGAGACAGTCCCCCAGGGCCATGAACTGTGTGTCAGTGCTCAAACAGGCTGCAACTACATGATAAAGAGATTTTTTTTTCTCTTCCATTGCGTACAGCCATAGGCGACTAAATATTTATAAAACTATTGACTGTGGTGCTCAAATTTCTTTATCATTTAAAAAAAATCTACTCTAATGCCCTTTTGACATGTAATGTTTTCCATTCTCCCTCAGAAACTGGGTTAGGAGTTACATAATAGAAGGCTCATTTATATATGTAATGGCAACATGGGCTAAAATCACTGCACTAGACCAATAAATGCAAACTTGCATGAAATTACACCTCAGATTATGGTAGGCCCAGCCAGTAGCATCACCTTTCTTCAATTCCGTCCAGAGCCAGATAATTTAAATCTAACGGCAATGTAAACCTCTGGCTCAAGTTTAGCTTTAAGAACTAGTGGCATCCTGGGAATACAACACCAAAATGATCTAAAATTGTCTGTGCAGAAGCAAGGTGTAATGTGGGACAATGACGCTCTCATAACTGGCCTAATCACAGTCCACGTTTTGATACAGAAGTATAAATGTCAGCCCCCATTACGTGGCTGGATTAGGAAACAGTGGTAGTTGCCCAACAAACTAGCAATTTTAACTCAACCAGGGGAACAAGGACTTCACTACACTTGCTTTCTTGCAATATCTCTCAACATTCCTAGTGCTCTGATCCTACAGTCTTACCTTAAATTGCACATTCCATAAACAGTGACAGCACAAATCAAATTCTGCTTTTCCCAAATCTTTTGTTGTGCATCAAAACACATTTTCCCCCTTAATGAAAGACACAGAAGTGTTTAAAAGTTTGATAAGCCTATAAACGTCTTAAACATAAGATATGCTTTCTCCCCAAAAATAAAAATCACAATATTAGACAAAATGAGTAACAGCAGAGCCCAAACTCACGGTTCCCCATTGCCAAAAACAGTCAATAGGACTGTATTGTTACTCTAGATAAATTTCCTAAAGATACTTTTCCAAATGATGTTTACTGTATCTGCGAATGAGCTAAGCCAGCTAGGGAACCAAAGTGCACAGCTCTGTAAACACAGACACCCCTAACAGATAGATATGTATGTGTGTATATTTATATATAGCATTTGTTGACAAAAACAAAGCCTTTAATTGAATCCACTCCTGGCACTCATGTAATAAACTACGAAAAATTACTGGCTAAAATTAGGAGGCTGTGCATCCATTGCTTAGAGCAGAGGACTGGAAGGTCTAGAAACATCCTGGGTTTTAATTCCTGATGATCCACTGACTCAATGTGTGGCTGTAGCTCAGACACTGGCCAGTTTTCTTCTTTAGTCACTGCAGTGGTGAAGTTGGAGGGGGAGGGGAGGGAAGCAGGCATTCACTTAAAAAGAACTCTCAAAGCCCAGATTATACATCTGAGTCATTTTCCTGGGCACACAAACTGCCAAGGGAAGTAAGTAATAACCCACTGATTCCCAATACTGTAACTTATTGCTTTAGGCCTCATAACTCTATGTGTATTAATATGTGAGACTTCACAAAATAGCAATTTGCAACGATCCCTTTGGTAGAAGGTTACTGTTGTCTTTGTCATTAACAAAGAGCTTCAGTCTCCTGTTGGAAACAAACCTCTCAAATGACAAATCTCACCCTGCATATTTTCACCTCAACGTTGCATATTGTGATACTGGATTGTAGGTCTAGATTAGACCATCATTAATAGCTAACTTCAGTGGTTTCCAAATATCACGCAAAATCTAAAACTCACTCCCATTCACTTTAAAGTAGGAGCATTATTAATTGCCGCTGATGGCTAATTTTAGTAAACAAAACTACCTGTGTACTTGTAAGTGAAAGGACTGTTGCATTTTGGTTGCAAACGCTTGGATAAGGAATCCCATTGCTAATCGAGTTTGTATTAGCATAAGAAATTAGTTGAAAAATGTACATCAAAGAAAATGAGTGAAGGATCATCTCTCTGCCTGCTTAAGAAATACAGTAGAAAACCATGAAATAGCTCCTGAATATAACAGAGTGCTTGCTGCTGTTGTCAGTCCTAATTTTAAAAGTTGCACTGTTCTAAACCTGTCATGCTTTAGATGTTAATGTGGTAAGTGGCATTCTTGGCTATGGTTGTATAACAATATTAGGTCAACTGCATATTCCACTGCTGTCAGTCAAATCGTGACCCTCTGAAGATCATTTTTTCTTTTCCCCTATCTGCAAAGGCTTGTTTGAGGCCCCAAAGAGCCTCTTTGTGGCAAAACAATGAAATAAAAAATGAGGTACGGAAAGAAGGGCCCAGCATTCAAAAAAGACCAAACAAGGATGAAACAGCTCTAGCACTGCCAGATATCACAAACAATTGAGACCTTTTTTTTCTCCCTCTTTTTTGCCAAGATGAATTAAATATTGTCCTTTTTTTAATTTTTTTTTTTTTTTTTTTTTGGCAAAGTTAAGACCTCAGCCACAGTCTCTTTCATGGCTGTGCAAGTAAGTTACCGCCGCAAGTACTGCGTTGCAATAACAGCCACAGAAAGGAAGATTAGGAAGGAGGAAGGCAAAAATTTGCTGCTGGCCCCATTTACGCCACGTCCAGACTGGTTAGGAATAGCATGTACTTCTGGCTGCCTGGTGCTGGGGTTCTTGGAAAGTCTTTTGCCGCAGACCTCATCAGGACAGCCATCACCGCTCCCAGAGCCACTGATGTCATCACCTGCACTCAGAAAGAAACTCAGGGTGAGACTGACAAATCAAACTTCGTGCTCAGCACAGGACAGCCACTGCCTCTAGATGCTTATAAATTCAAACAGACGGGATGTTGGGAGAATCCCAGGGGAATTAATTCTACGACTGTCTCACTGTTTTTCCTTTCTATCGGTCATGTATATGGTCTGGAACATATTGGAAAATATGTATTGTATTCCTTCACTAGATGTACTTTAATGAACATGGGATGGCGTGGAGTGTTCACAAGCCCTTGCAGTCAGGTGGTTGGCTGGCTCTGTTATCTGTGGCCAAGGCTTGAGTCAGTTAGTCAGGTCCCTGCCAAACAAGGTAAAGGCTGTAGAGCACATTGGTCCTTCTGTACTTGGTCTCACATTGATGTTTAAATGGCCTACTGCTGTAGCAGCTAGATGCTGATTGGAAAATTTTAAAAAGTGACAAGATCACCCACCGTAGGCTGCTGTTTGTGCTTTGGAGAGAGATGAATCCTGAACTTTTGGTTTAAAAGCTGAACTAAGAAAGAACATCTTACATCACAGTGTGAGGCTCATGAAACTTCATCTCTGAGGCACTGTCAAGGGTGGTCAACTCCAGACATACACAGGGCT